GGCGAGCGGCTCGGGCGCCGGGACCCGGGTTACCCATGCCCGCGGGGACCCGCGCAGCCGGCAGCCGCACGCCCCTTGCACGCCTGGCTACTTCCTCCTTTGCGACCATTTTCTCGGCCTCAGCCGCTTTCAAACTTTAGGGTGATGACGCGCCGGGAGGGTGGGTGAGATTCGGTTCTTCCTCAGCGCTCCCGCCAGTAGCCACGGGATTCTGGGGCTTAGCGAACAGAGCCCCGGTCTTGGTTGGAGGTGGAGACGCTCCCACCGCCCGAGCCGGGCTCCTGCCGGCGCCACTGCATGGGGAGGAAGTGCGATTCGGTGCTCGAGAAATACCACGTGTTGAACCCTGTAACCTCGCAAGGCCCGAGGCCTGTTCCGGCGACTGGCCCAGTCGCCTGGGGGAGCCACGGGGCCTGCGGATAAAGTTAACGTGGTGTGGTGGTGGTCCTGTTTCTGATTCCATTCTCATCGGTGACTGATGACTTAGAGATGTAAATAACCAATGAGACGTGCATTTGCATTTCCCCCTAGTTCAGGCATTTCTCACTTTAACAGCTGGATGGGTGGAGGAAATCTGTAGTGTGATCCCTTTGAAGGCCAGCCTTTTCTTGGGCCATGTAATTTTAATTTTTTATTAAAATGAGTTCCATAGAACCGGTCATGTGTTCAGGGTATTACCTTTCCCGTCCTGAAATAGTTCCAGTGTTTTGAAGGGTTTTAATCTTAAAATGTATTAGCCATTTTACTAAGTACTTTTAAGTTTCTTTATTTTTTAAAGTGGGTCCACAGAAGTCATGGGGAATGATTGAGTACGTAAGATTTAAGTGTGGAGGGCTGTCTGGGGGAATGCTTTTAGTCTTGTTTTTTATTTTAAAGCTAAACATTGTACAGAACAAAATTTAGCAGCGAGGACATGTAGCCAGATGAGTTGCCAGGGTTTTTATATCAGGATCAACTGATATATAGAAAGCTTTACCCAATTTTAGTGTCTAACTTTGTGTCTGTGCCCCTGCCTGCTTGAATATGTCAAATATTATACATTAAGGAATTTTAATTTTTTATTTGTATAGGAAAAGGTGGCACTTAAACTTTAATTCATTAGGTTAGTTCAATAAAGACCTTTCACTAGGTAAAATTAAGAGATTCTGGGTGACACCAAGGTGACACCAAGACAGGCTGTAAAACTATTCGGGGGCAGGTTTCCTGCCCTTTTTTGCTCTGTAAGCAGTAGTTCCAAATGTCACTTCCTAATAGTTATAACTCTGGGCAAGATTTATTAATGAACGGAAAATTAAGGCTGGGAAAGATAATTTGGAGGCAGGTCATTACAATATACATAGTTGGTAGAGAAAACTTCAAGTGGTGACTTAATAGTGACTATTGTTTCTAAGCTTAAGTTTAGATCCATAGAAATTTTTTTTTTATTTCTTGGATTTGAAAAGTAGAACTTCAAATTAACCATGGTTACAGTACACTGTACAGTACACTGTATTATCAGTCTATACCAGTAGACCAGTTTTGTGACTGTTGAAAGAAGATAGCATTTTTCTTTCTGTGTTTTTGACGTGTGTACAGTTTACCTTCTCTCCAGATGAAGTTTTGATTTTTAAAAAGTTGTGCTACCATGAATGGATTTGTGGAAGGGATAGCTTCAGAAAGTGAGCAGTTTCCTGTATATAACAGGAAGAGGTGACTCATTCCAAAAAAAGCTCAAGAAAACTCAGCTGAAAAAAATTGGGGAGTTGAGTAGGTGTGGTCAATAATTGATAATGAGCTGCAGCTGATTGACATTGTCTTCTAGCAAGTATTCATTTATTGAAAGAGGTAGCTGGAAAATAAGTCCTCAGAATAACTTTACAGTAACATTGGCAGGGAATAGATGCTTCAGGGCCTCAAAAGGACTTTTTCCCTGGGTTTGGGTTTTTTTTCCTTTAAATTAAGGATATATTTTTCCAGTAGACTGAAGTTCAGTGCTTCTGCAGTGGTACAGGTGCAGCACATAATTCAATCCTTCATAAGACCCTGAAATCATAGGATAGATCTTGAAGTTTTCTAGGAAGATCCAGAAGTAATTGTCAACTCACCAGTTAAGTAAATCAATGGCCTTTAAGGTAAAGTTGTTTAAATGTCAATGCTACATTAATAGTGGATTGTTAATATTGTAAGCCTGGTGTTTTAGAAGTTGTTATGCAGCTTGTGTCCACCTTCATGTTAATTTTTTTAAACCTGAGTCAAATCTTTGGGTGTGTCTTTTTTGTTTTGGGTTTTTGTGGACAAGATATAAGTTGAGCCACGAATCACAGGAATCCCTCAACGACTTTGGCAACTTTTTCAAGGCACGGGACTAACTTTTGATTAGTATTGGCAGTGGAAGTAGCAGTTACGAGAATAGATTGTTTCAGAAATACACTGTTAGCAATACATTGTCAACATAGGATTTGGGGGTTCTGATATTTGTTTTTTTTTTTGCTTTATACTGTTTAAAGCTAGGCTTGTCTTAGGTAAGATTTAGCCATCTTGAAGTTTAAAGAAATAGAGTGAGGCTGTACCTAACCAGTCCCCCATGATAGTTCATATAATTTTAAATGACTTATAAAAGATTTGAAGTAACATTCACTCTGAAAACATTCCTGCAGCGGAGCGTGCTTTGGACACCATGAATTTTGATGTTATAAAGGGCAAGCCAGTACGCATCATGTGGTCTCAGCGTGATCCATCACTTCGCAAAAGTGGAGTGGGCAACATATTCATTAAAAATTTGGACAAATCCATTGATAATAAAGCACTGTATGATACATTTTCTGCTTTCGGTAACATCCTTTCGTGTAAGGTAAGAAAAAATATGACAGTATTTAAAAAATTTTTTTTTAGGTATTTGTAGTTAATATTAAAATAGCAACTTTGCTGTCGTTAATGCATACCTTTGTTTCTCATCAAATACCAAAGTTAGGTTGCTGACGTAGTACTGTGTACACTGGAAAGAATGTTAAATCAATAGCTAGTAATGAAAAATTGGTATGCATTTTTCTCTAGGTGGTTTGTGATGAAAATGGTTCCAAGGGTTATGGATTTGTACATTTTGAGACACAGGAAGCAGCTGAAAGAGCTATTGAAAAAATGAATGGGATGCTTCTAAATGATCGCAAAGTGTAAGTATAAATACTTAGCTGATATTTTAAATTGCTTTTAACAGTTAGGATCTTTTCATATTACAAGTTTATACTATGCTGTTAAAGACATAGTGCTAGAGTGGAAATTAAAAACCCTATCGTATAGATTTTAAATTGTTTCTCCACATTGAATGTAACAGAAGTAAGTATTAATACCATTGGATTAATAATCTAGATCAGAAAGAACGAAGATAGGTGTACTGGAATGGCAAACTTTAAAAATTAGTGCATAGTTAAAGAACCAGGAATCCAGACAGAAACATAATCATAATTTCTGATTAGCTATTTTACATTTGTGGAAAATGGCTAAGATAATTAGCCTGTATTTACACACTGGTGTGACAGATGAGTCCAGGATATAATCTGAGTTGGCTCTTTTTGTCACCATGTTTCTAAAATTTTCTGTTGGCTTTATTTTGCTATTGTTGACACTTTAAGATAAGGCAGAATTAAATCAGGTCTTCCTTATCCTTTCTTGAAGTAATCTTTTTTTACAGTTCTACCTCTGTAAAAAAAGGAAGAACACCAGTTCTGTTGGAGATTATTTTAAAAACCAGATTTTATGACCCCAGTGAACTGATAATTTTTTATTATTATAATCAGTGGGTTTAACTTATCTGTACAAATCCAGCTGTAAAGCCAGTCACACTGCTGTGTAAACTGCAATGATGACATACAAATTGTGTTAAAAGTTCACTGCAGTACTGTCAAGTCGTTAATATAAATCACTGCACAAAGTGGTGTACCGGAAGGGTGAATAATAATACACCTGTTTTGAGTTTTACATCTTATTGTCTAAGTAATATTAAATGTCATTCATATAATTTTTCGGCCACATTTTAGGAGAGAAACAAGAATGCACTCCACAAGTCAATCATGAAAACTTTTTAAATTTATATTTAGTGGCTATTACTTTTATTAGAGGAAAAATAAAACTTTAAAGATGTTGGTAATGCTGCACAGAATTATTGGGGCTATTGTCAGACTACAGAAACTAAAGTTTAAATTTCTATTTTAGGGGATTGCAAAATGCAAGAGCTGCTTGAAACTGCAACCTTGAATTTATATGTCTGGGTTCACATGCTCCTTATGTATTTATTACAACTCTTGTATTGATAGGAGTGATCTTTTAATCTGGGTTAGTTGGAAGGAGAGAATAGAAATTTTTTTTCTTGTAATTTAAATGTTGATTTTATGCTTTTATAGTTGGCCCTACTTCTGTTTTATAGTATGCTATCTTATTAAAGAACTTGAGATTCTCATTAACAAAAAAACCATCAGACTTAACTTGAATTTAATAAAATTAGAATCTAATTTTACAGTTCTTACTTATTTTATTAGATTTGTTGGACGATTTAAGTCCCGTAAAGAACGAGAAGCAGAACTTGGAGCTAGGGCAAAAGAGTTCACCAATGTTTACATCAAGAATTTTGGAGAAGACATGGATGATGAGCGCCTTAAGGATCTCTTTGGCAAGTTTGGTAATGTGAATTAAATTTTTACACTTAAGAGTAATTCTCAGTCTTTGTATTAACTAATATTTTATACTAAAAGTAAGAGATGAGACAATTTTTAACATGGTACTTGAAAAATATCTGTAGTTTTTTAAGCTTAAGTTTGGCAGACCATTATACTACAAAATAATAAAGGAGTTCTATTCAACCTGAAGGTTAATTGCATTATATTAGCACAGTCGGGTGTAAGGTGCATAATTCTAATATTTGGAACAGATTTTTTAAAAGGGCTTACTGGGTTCTGATGTGCTGGATTTATGCAGTTACAGACCCTATCTCATGGAGGCATGCCTGTGACAGTCAACTTAGATTGAAGTGTAGTCTTTAATTATGTGACAGGAAAGGCGGCCAGCTTTAGGATATTTAGAAGTCTCAGTGTCATGTTTGAGCAATTTAAAACAATGGCTTTCAAAGACAAAACCAAAGATACAGAGTATCCAGCAGTATCTCCTTGGGACAACCTTCTGAATCTATGGAATCTTGAACTACTTTTTTCCTTGCATTTCATGTTCATTAAGCTTCTAATTAATTTAAGTGTAACCAACCTCACTTCTGCAGTTGTAGAACTGATCAGAAGATGAACTTTAAATTGTATGCTTTGCAGATCATTTGCTTGCTCCTGCCATTTGAGTACTTCAAATGAAACAGGATTAGGAAATTTAATACTTTTTTTTATTTATTATAACAG